TAACACGCAATGTCTAGTCTGGAAGATGTCTTTGCGATATCTTTAATAGGGGAGCTTTCTACATAAGTTCCAAGTCTTGAGCCGTAAGAAATTGACCAGTCGATTATTCTTCTCACATTCGTCGACTGCGATTGGTCCATTTCTTACGACTTAAGACGGAGCTTAGATAAATCGTTACGATTTAAATTTATATACGTTATGATTAACCAATCCTGTAATGTATTGTTATTTGTCCCGAGAATCCCTACCCTCCTGATTGCCTAAAATATTGCGATCTAATACGATTATCCCGAATGTAAGTTTCCTAAGATTTTTTTATGACTTTATTCTTACTTGCCACTAATATGATTATGGAGTGGTGATTATGGTATATTGTATTCGTAGAAAACATGTACGTCTCGAGAGAGACGTTTTCATGACGTCTTTTAGACATACATGTTGCCTGGGTCGTCGATAATCAGAGGTCTCTTTCTCATTTCTGCACCAGACTGCACTGGAACTCTCTTTCTCGCTTTCTCCAGATAACAAACATATTTCATTTTAAGTTTCAAAAGCTACTTCAGTTCTAAAGGACAGCGTGTCGGAATTTGTTGATGACGACAGAACAATTGAGTCTCGTTTGAGATGAAGAATATTGTCTCGGTCCATTTACGCTTCTTACATCATTTTTAACTTATCAAGCCTCGTATATCTTACAATTATTCTCGACATACATATATACAGTAAGATTGCGTGATCGGTTAATAACGGTCGCGTGTACCGCCGAAGCGGACGGAATCTTTAGATGTGCACAGCGCCGAGACGGTCCCAAGCTCTGCGCTCGATGGTTAGTTTTCTGTCGGAAGGTAGGCCTCGTAACTGCGAGAACATCGCTCGCGACTAACAACGTACGCGCGCCGTTTCGCAAATCGTTGTTGCCCACCGTTGTCGCGGTACTTTAGCGTAGGCATATGTGCGCGCGCGTTCACTGTGTGAGCGTATAATTTAGGGTACAAACTGCAGCGGCGGCGGAGAGGCCGCGGGGGGGGGGGGGGGGGG